TAAATAAAGAACAGATATACCAGTAAATGTTACATTTATGAAAAGGGTATGACAGGAAAAAAATTGAATAAATAATGCATTGAACTTTTATGAAATGATACAATAATTTTCTTTCAAAAAGATTTATATAAATGTATTAACCATAGATTTGTGGCTAAAATACCGGAGTGCTTCAAGTGATACAGATACAGAGGGGTTTGTGAATAAAATATAAGAGGCTATTTTCTCCAGTATGTTAATGGGTTATAGTTAATAGCACATCAATGTCCACCTACCCTACTTGGTGACAGAATTTTTTTCAATATGGTAGCCCAATAAATTGAATTTCTCAAAAAATTGCACATTATACGAAACTAAGAATTCTTATTTTGCCATGTCGGGCAATTGCTTGGGAAATAAAATGGTACTAAAAAGTTTTCTTAGTTTAGCTTTAGCAGACAGCGATTCATCCAAACTTGAACAGATTAGACAATAGTACTCATGATCTTCAGGTACATTTTTATACTAGCATACAAAAGAATGCTATGCATGTAATCGTTGCCAATTGGTAACTTTTCACTTTGAGAAATGTGTCTATCCCGATCCCCTAATTTTCTGCCTAAAGCTATATAATTGGAACTTAAAGAAAGGATTACAATGCTTTTTCAATGGTGTGAAAGCGTGTTGTGCTGTATAAAAATGGGATATAGGCATCCCTTCGAGACACGACAGAAATGAATCAAAGGAGTTGCTGAGAGATTCTAATGGCAACCACTTCTCCGTCACTCCCTGCCTTCATAGTATGGTATTTCACGTGAAGACCTGATTGCACCAGAACAAAATTATGAAACAAGATAAACAAAAGTATGCGGGAGAAGCAACTCTACTGTAATAGAATTTTTAAGACTATCATATAGAGATGTGTAGGCAAGGAAGGCAGTAGATCCTACAATAACCACTATGGCCTGCGGAATTCTGGATAAGAAGAATGAGATTCTGAAGTTTGTTGGGATTCATTGCCGGGGTTGAAACATAACCGAAAAATAGAAATATTCTTACCTTCATTATCTTGTAAATTCGTGTTAACAGCAACCGCATGAGGAGCAATCCTGGCCTTCGGTTGCCAATCATTATGTCTACCAATCCATGACGGGTAATCAAATACCGCTACCATATAATAAGGAAATTAGAACAGATTGTATTTATGCCTTAATGCCAATCCAAAAGTACTAGATCATGGAGCAAATTGCAGAAATACCAATCACCTGTAAGGCTGAAGCCACTTGAGCTATTTTTCGTGGAAATAGTTTTCTTATTACAATTGTTTAGTGGATCAATGGGTAACCACTTTATTTAAGATACAGAATTAAAGTTTCGGATTAATGGAATGGGATCACATCTATTCATAAAGAACAACCATTCATAAGAACGGAAAGTAAATTCACTACACACTAGTATTCACCAGGGAGCTTATCCTAAAGTATGGGGGCTTTCACCGAAACAATAAATGAATTAAAGTATCAGGATCTACCAGAAGTTGAAGAATCCTTCAGGTGTGTGAAATCAAAAATGGCCCCAGCCGCTCCGTCTGCTCGCTTTTTGATATCATGTGATCCTATGAGCTTGTATTCCCAGCTCCCATTTTGGTAGCCTTCACAGAGGAAAAGTTCTATATGCCTTGCATCTAAAGTCTGCATTGTTCCTGCATTAAATAGGAAATTGTCAAATGAAGCCAGTTAATTTTGGCATCTTACCTCACAGTATTGGGAAATTCCTATATGAAATAACTCATTGTTCGCCATTCTCTTTTACACGCGGCCGTTAATAAGCAGACACATTATAATGGTACAATTCTTTTGTCCCTTAATCAAATCGTAGAAGTTAAATTCTTATTAATTACGATATCTTGAAAAGAACGAAGTCTAAAAGTAATTCAACTTACCATCGCATGTGTTGAGATCACAAACTGGACATCGAACAAGCTGCAGGTCTGAAAAATTAACCATATCAACAAATAGACAGTGACTTAATTCCTTTTTAAAAAGACAAACCCAAGGTAGAGTTAATTTGGGAATTACCGGCAATCCAGATCCCACTTTTAACATTGTCTAACATGCAACAGCCGTGCGACTGCAACATATTTTCCATCGTTTCTTCCTTTCTGATCTTCCTCGGAAAAGTTAGTCTCTCAGCTAGGAGGGCCAATGAAGAGTCAAGGGAAAAGGCACCAATACGCATCCAATCTGATGTTACATATGAAAAACCAATGTACAATTGTACATTAATGACGTGCTCAAATGCTACGCGAAGTTGCCTATGCAGTAAGATATTATTGGCGTGGTTTAATTCCAACATTGCGGAAACAAGAACGAATCAGCGCTTAGATAAATTTTAGTGCATAATGCTTCAAGAGAATTGCTAAATAATCAAATGAAGTGCAAAGTTCAGCGAAGAAAACCAAATTATGGCTTTTAGTGCTAGAACTGTTTGGTTAAAGGATAAGCATTCACAAGGAATAAGGTTAGTAGCTGGCGTTTTTTTTTTTTTTTAACGAAGGTAAATTTCTAGTCTTCAACTCACCTATATGTTTCTCCTGCTGGCGAAACATAAACGAGTGGCTCCCATCTGCAAATTCATTATACAATTGTAATTAACTGGACGTGGCAGTGCGTTGCATGCTTTGCCAATCTTCATTCACGTGGAAAAAATATAAAAGGATCATCGAGCCTTACCAAATGCTGAAGTGTACAGTTTGTTCCACCTGTACGCCACACGTGAAGGAGGAGGCGGGACCTGAAGATCACGCAGGCTCACAAACTTCCATATAGTGTCGTCCATAATAACTCGGCGGAACCATCGGTTTGTGGCTGCCAGCATCACCAGAGATTTCCCGTCCAGAAACTTCGCAATCTCTGACCATATGTCCTCTTCGTACCTTCTCATTCAACATTGAGAAATAATTTGTAATCAGACTAAAATACAACGCGTATTCATATATTCAAAGATGGATATGTAGGGAGAAACAGATGTTGTTATAAATGCCTCATGAGCATCAATGCATCATTTGCATTTTCAAGCCAAATTCGGTAAATCAATGGTAGAGAGCATCGCTTTTCAATTTCGCTGGCAATCAAACAGAGTTTGCTGATTACGAAAGATACTTAAACTGAGTAGAGCTATATTGCTGTTCAAAAGTTCAAATAATAGGTCGGACAGAAACAGCTCGCAGAGTTTCACGGACACGCGCGCGCAGAGTTTTCAATAAGTTCCGCGATCAATCCTACCGTTCAGAATAAAATTAACTTAGAAAACAAAGCATGTATTAGCTCCTGATGCAGCTTCTTATTTACTTGCTGTCAAAAAGCTACCCTCATAGTAATTCAGCTTGCTCTGCAGATCGATGTGAATATGTTTTCAGGATAAGATCGACTCTGAACTTAGCAACTGTGGCTATTTGAATTGAAGTTCATGGATCAGCTGAAAATTTGTGATGCTATATTCATTTTCATTTTGAAATTCAATAAGGACATCTATAACGCAAGATTCAAACACGGAAGTCTTTCCACTTGGCTATGTTTTTCTAATCAGCTAGAGTCACACACGAAGCACCGCTTCCATGCATTAATTAATGAAACAACGGAACCATGAATCTCAATTCAAAATTTATAAGCAATAGAGTTAAACTTCATTTCGAAGCAGAGAATCAGATTGAACTCGAACTTCGATCCGTTACAGAGAAACACAAACAAGCTTACGATCACATTGAAGTTCAAAGCAAAGCAGAACACTGTAATTCGTGAAAGCTAAATCAGTTTTGTCTATAGTTAGAGAGGAAGGGAAAGAAAGAATACCAGCTGAAATTGGAATGTGGAGAGAGAAAGGGAGGACGAGGAGAGTTGCAAGAACAAATGGAGTTGCTCCTTCGCATGCGCTTTTCTGATCTATTTCCGTCAGAAGCAGCACCATTTTGAAGGCGCTTTCCCATGCCTGAGATGTTTGAGATCGGATTCTTCCACGACTCCGTCTGAACTCGGAAGCTAAAGCAGAGAAAGGATGAACCAATTCGGTAGCGAGTCTGAAACGCGAGGTGTTCTGTGAGGGTCGTTATATAGGCGCGCCAAAAGCGCTGATTCAAATAAAATAACTTGTCCCGGGTAACCGAAAAAACAATAAATAAATAACGAGCGAAAAAGTCCTTTTTTTTTATTTATTAGTGACTGGAAAAATTAGGAAGAATATGATAAAGCAGAAGTTTTATTACCTGAAAATCACAATGCAATAAAATTGTATTATAAATACCTCCTTAAATTTGGCCCATATATTTTAAAAAATTGTGAATTATGAATTTTGTAGACAGTACAACTCAATACATGTGGTCTACAAAATAGAATTCTTATTTTTTAGTTTTATTTAAAAATAAACAATGTTAGTATAAAGATCCAATATCGAATATTAGTTTGATACAAAGTAACCTGCCGCAAGGTAATTCTTTTATGTAGCATGCGTTTCCGTAATAAGTCGTTAAATAAGTTTTCACCTTTCTTCTAAAAAAGGTCATTGAATTTATGATAATATAAATTTTTACCCAATTTGTTCAAATTCAAAATATAATATAGAGATGGGAAAATTTAAATGAAAGGTAAAACAATCAGGAAAAGAGAAATACAACTGACGCAATGAAAAAACTACATTTTTAAAAATTGGCTAAAATATATAATTAAAAAAAATCTGCATAAATGGTAAAATTACAAAGAATTATAAAAATCATATATTATAAAGAAAATAATAATAAAAACCATTGAAATAAAAAAATTGTATACAAAAACTGATTTATAAAAATTATTGTCAAAACATATACTAATATTGTCATGAAATTTTTATGTGCAATTTTTTTATTTCAGACATTTTTTGTCATTTTCCCTATATTATAATTATAACTTGACATGATATATTGCATAGGAATTTCCAACGCAACCGCCGAGACTGGAATGATGAGGTTGGCAACAAAATCCCACCAGCTCTTGGTGGGAGCTTTCTTATTATAATTTATAATCGTATAATATACAAATTACATTGAACTTGTATACAAATTAGAATTTTAAAAATTGTACGCCAAAAAAAATAAAAAATTATTTAAAAAATCGGGAAGATGTTTATCGTTGGGCAGATGCAAATTGCAATGTGCACCTCTCATAATGGGGGGGAAAAAATTGTAACCCTAATTCATAAACTTCCTACAATTTGGGGCATTGCAATGACAGGGAACTTTCAGTTCATCAAGCTCATCCGGATCGAACAAGTAGTCATACCTGTTGCAACATTGACATGAAAAGAGTTAATCCTAATAAAGTCAAATCAAAATTCTCATGTGCAAACAAGAAATCCGCCTCTCCATGTAGATTCGTCACATTAAAACTACTTCCTCTACATCTGAAGATTGAACCATTTTAACATGAAGTGAATTGAGTCTTTTGTTTTTTTTTTTTTTTGGCCTGAAGAAGTGAATTGAGAGTCGCAACTTATAAAAATATTGGAATGAGCGTCAAGATGCATTTAATGGGGGAAAAGGTTCAACCTTGTATAAAGTGGAGCGGTCTATAGAATTATCAATAGCAGATATACAACAGAACAAACCGTACGTTAGTTCTTCACCAGCACATATATTGGTCTTGGCGATAAGTACAATTCGGCTCTCCTCATCATCCAAACTTATAATCCTCGCATAGCAGTTCGGCATGCACTGAAGCAAGCCAGAGTAAACATTAGTATCCTTTTTTACTTAATTTTCCATTCTTGTGACATCACGGGGTAAGTGGGGGAACTAGATTACAAGGAAACCAAGCAGATTTTGCAAAAACTAGATCGGATTCAGTTAGCAGTCTAACGCGAACTAGATTCAGATTAGGAGACTCAGTAACAACTTACAGAATGGTTTATTAAGCGTGTTATGTTGCCCTTGTCTGTTGCATCAATTACCACTTCCTCGCTGATCTTGAACAGCTGCATAAACCGACAAAAGATCACAAATGGAACTATATCGAGTTTAAAATACATTTCACTGGATGATGGGGTAAAGATGCAACGTGGCAGTACAGAACAGAGTATCAAAAGCCAAGGGGCTTACGTAACAGTCTTTGCCTTCTGACCGGTACTTAGCTTCCCTTAAATCAGCAATGCTCCGTCTTACCTGTTCGCCACAATATTCAGCAACCTGCAGACAGACATAACTAACATAAACACAATATCCTCAAGAGAATCTCCAAGCATGTAACAATCTTACATATTTGGTGACACTCTTAGCATAGTAACTAACCATCTCTCCTTCTTCTATATCTCGATGAGCAAAGAGGCCCCATCCATGTATACCAGATTTTCCAAAGCAAACTTGATGCTTTACAGTTTTCTGTAACCCAAAGCATCAAAGTAAAATAAGAAAATGATAATGAGAAAGGACTTGAAACCATAGATTAAATGATAAAATTTAGTATATTTTACCTGCAAATGACAAAGGCGCTCCTTGAGTGAAATAAATACTTCAGAATGCTCAACATCCTATCATAAAACAAGGAAAGGAGGTTGTATTATTCATACAGTACAACCACGAATCAATAAAACTAGATTAGCTATTTCAAAAAGTGTCAAAGTACTGTGAGACACGAAGATCACCTTATAACTGTTCAATTGAGTTATTGCACTTAAAGAATGATGTCTTGGTCCACCCAGTAAGTGAATTACTGGCATATCAACTTTCTGGCAAATTGGAAACATTAAAAACGTATTAAGTAAGACCAGTTGTGAAATAAAATTTAATAAAAATGAAACAATAGCATTCATTTCATGTGCAATAAAAAACAGAAGTAACTCAACCTTCTTAAGAGGCCTTCTGTAAACACGACATCTGGCAGCAGAGGATGGCTCAAACTTGTTAATCTCAGAGTTTGAGGACTCTTCAGAAAGTTCTACGTCCTTTGTTGAGACTAGCCTCGATCCCCTGAAGCATCCCTTACGATTTTGAAGTTCAGTTCCGGGAGAGAAAACCCCTAGGGGTGTGTGCACAACCAGTACTGAATCTGGTTTTGGGGCCCTGCGATGAAATTGAGATATAAGATTACATTGATTTTAAAACAAGCACAAACTATCATCAAATACAATCAGGTGACTGGAGCTCAAAAGTCAAACCTATGAACTGCACAATATATTAGCTTTGTTGTTTTCTGACTCCCATTCTTCTCCGTGGAATGCAACTGTAAGTTCAAACATATATTTAACGTGTTTCACAGGCTCGAGTAATCCTAATTTGGTTAAATATTCTCATAAAACTACTTGGTTAGGAACGCAACATATATGATGCCTCTTCCCTCAGAAAGGAAAGGGAAGGTGTATATGATGAGTGACCTGTTTACATAATAATAGTACCAACAACAACATCAATAATAAATTAAAAAAATTTATCAAGCTTACTTCCATGCTATATCCAGCTTTTGATGCACACATCACATGAAAATAAGTAGCACATTTGCAACAACTTAAGCACGATCCGTGGCTTTGTTTACAAATAACGCAAACCTGCAGTCAATATAAACAAAGAGCATCTAAATATGGCAAGACTAAGATTCCCCACAAGAAACATGAATTTTTTCTAACTGTGCATCAAAGAGGGAAGACTACATGATTTAGTTCTAGGGTTGTTGCTAGAGAAAATATTGTAACTCAAACCAATTAATAAGTCAATGTGATACGTACTGAGATAAAATAAACTGATAAAAGCTCCTGGACTGCGATTAATATTCGAAAATAAGCTCCCCTGTTATGATAAGAGAAGCAATAAAGCAGCAAAATAGGAATAAACACTCATGGTTCCCTCCTGGCTTTCGAGAGGCCAGTCCCCTCCTCACTTCACAGCACTCAAAGATAATCCATATCTTCCCCCCATGCACCCCCAACGTCTCTAATACAAAATATGCTACACAGTCCCCAAAATAACCCTAAAGTAAAAGGTAACAGCTAAACAGCACCCTACAGCCACCTAGGATGCCGTCCCTTACTCCAAAATGGTAGGAATACCAAGTCAACTAGCTGAACCAGCAAAAGGTGTGTTTCCCTTATCGAGCATTCTCCTAGATTTCCTTTTATAGGTATGGTCAGCAAAGGTGAACGTATCACAATGTCAAGACAACTTTCCGCAAAATGTACCTTTGAAAACGCATATGGAGGAATTTTAAGGATTCCAATAGCAGGTTCCATCATCTCGTGATTTTGGAAAATAACTTCAGGCCGGAACCAAGCGCACGTCACATGAACCCACAGCATGTCAACATCAGTCGGCTTCAGAGCACCACCTACAAAGAAATTTTCCATATTAAAAGCAAATCGCCACTGGGTGACAAAAACTGGTAACGGCATAAACATGACAAGAGGGGAAAAAAGACGCAAGCAGTGAGTGCACAACATACAGAATTATAGGTAATCATGACCGCATTTGAATGAAATTTATAAACAGATTCTACTAAAAAACTTGAAAAGCAACAAAGAGGTTGAATGCAAGGAATGGTCCGGTGACAAGAGTTTGAAAATCCACCAAAATCAAGCAAGCTTTTTAATGTTATGAAGAATGTCAGTACTTCATATACCGAAAAGAAAATTAAAAAAAGAAGCCCCTTTCTCAGTGGAGAATTAGAATGCTAGATTCACCACTCATCTTTCAAAAAGAACTCAATATATTGCGTAGGGGAAACAATAAAAGCGAGTCAGATCATTCATGATTTAGATAACATGCCTTTTACTGGACAGAGGCAACACTCTCTCTCAACGTCAGGAGTTTCACATACTCTACAGACCCAAGAAGTAAAATCTTTAACGTTCTTCACCCCATAGCATTCTTGGTGGACTGCAATTTGGCATCTGCATAATGAACAAGTGCCCAAATGGGGATCAACGTTGCTCCCTGCGAAGCCCTTTAAGGTGAAAGCAAACTTTTAACGTATCCAAATGTGAGACCAAATTCAACAACAAAAATAGTAACACCTGTTACATATAATAATCTTGTTATCATCCCAGTCCTCAACCCATCTGCAAATGGCACACCTTTCTGTAGTCCATTTTGCATAAACTGGCTCATACTTCTCTGTGACAAGAAAATAATGTAAAAAAATAGTTTCCATCTTAAAGATATATTCAAGAGAAAGTATGTGGCTTTGTTTGTCATGCGCTGTTGTTCACCTCAAAGATAAGGAGACTTCATTGCGTGGAAGTTTAGATGGAATGCAAATTTACCTTGCAAAAAGGCAAGTACCTGCTGCTGATCCAACTGTAGGGAAACTCCAGCTTGAGAATTGTTCTCAGTAATCTGAAGCATTAACGATAATTCAGAAATGAGAAAGAAGCACACAACAATAACAAAAACAGGAAAGGCAAGATCTAAATAATTAAATTTGAGCATCCTTTTCATACTCTATGGAAGTGATTGGAAATGAAAGTAGCGAAGGCATTATTATACAAATTAAAGTGATAATTATCGTCGCTAATCCCATGACTGCTAACACACGCACACACAGACCACCAAACATGCCAGCAGAAAAATTGCCATTTCCCTCATATTGCAAAACTGATACAAACCCATTTTTCTAGGGGTAGCATTGTGCTTTTTACTTTCACGCTGAATTTCCATTTTTTGGCTTTGCAACCCGTATGCCGCTCCCATTCACTTAGTGTCTGCTTCCTTGGCACACAGGAACCACACTTGCACATAACTCTGCAAGAAAAGGGGGGAAACAGTTTATTGAAATTCTTCTGGAAGGAGATAATTTATAATTGCCTTAAGGTCTTCCATTGGTGCTCAGAATAAAAATTGTATAATAAAAAAAATATAGAACCTAGTCATATTGCTACACATATCTAGTCATATTGCCTTAAGGTCTTCCATTGGTTTCTTTTATAAATGAGACATTAAATAACATCTAATATACTATTTCATTATAAAATCATAACAAAATTAAATGAAAGACCCTGAGGCAATTCATGAAAAAGAAAAGGAACAGAGAACACGTTAGATGTATGAAAGACAACAGAGAGATTATAATAAATTTTATTTCCTCTAAAGATTGCAGTCCAAAAGATTTTGAGCTGATTAAGCTCAATAATACAATAGAGAGTAAAGGCTTACAAATGAAGACTTGAAATGTAAGTTCCTTCCATGCCATTGCACACCACCGTTACCTCCTCAGGTATCATATGTTCTTCGTTTTTTTTAATTGAACTGTCCCAAGAAAATGTCACGAGATTAAAAGACTGCCATCCTCAGTGCTAAGATAAGATCAAAATGTTGAACAAGCCTAAACAAATCAAGAGATAATTACTGCATACTTGATTTTTGAATTGGATGGACGTGATTCTGCTGATTTACAGTTGACTTTTGTTTTACAATCTGGGCAATAGTAATCCACAAGTTCCAGATCCTGCAACCATAAACGAGTCCATGATCTTCCGCTGCTTTGCAATCCGGGGAAATCAAATATGACAGAAGAGATATATGTAAAGCTATGTTAACCATTATACCTTTAAAAGCTTCCCGGAGATATTATCACATTCTGCATGCACCCAAACATTGCAACCATCACAACATACCTATTTCCCAGAGTTAGGCCACACAATATTTAAAATTTTGATTGTTTCATTGAAATTAAAAAAAAAATGAATAAGAAATCAAATAAGCACACAAGCTTACCCAATTCCCACCATCTGAATGGTGCCAAATCTTTTTGCAAATGCCACAATATTGTTTTGACTTTTGCAACTGTAAAAAAAGGACCAAACTATTTAAAAATTATATTCGTCTGACAATTAATTAAGAAAAAACACAATCCAAAAAACTCTGACTTAGAATTTCCATTTTGGAAACATTAAACAAAGCAATTAACACATTGACCACTTGGTAAATACTTCTTAATCAGATATTTCTCATACAAGCGTTTGCAAATAGCAATTCTCCCAGATTAATCTAGACAACAAATAAATGGCCATTGTGCAGAACCTTCAAGCAATGTCTACAATAGAGTTGAGCGCTAGAATCCTTAAACTTCTTCATGGTTTTGCACGGTAACATCAAACCACAGCCAGCACAAAGTCTTGCATCCTGCACAATTTATTCACTGGATAAGAACCTACAAACAACCAGACTCTAAGGCACACATTTCTACATTGCTAGTGTCAGCTATTATTCAAGTCTGCCTTTTGGACTAGAACTATAGGATAAAGAAACATATAAGCTAACAAAATGAAAACACAAAGCCCATGACAGAGTTCTGCATGGACAGCTCCATTTACCTATAGTAGGAGAAATAAAAGGCCTAGACCCTAGAGCAGGGGCAAGTAGTGGGTAAGTGGCATTTCAGAACAGCACAAAACTAATAGTGAGAAAAGAAGCGAGAGAGTGAGGGAGTTACCAAGCACATCGTGCCAGTTGACTGCAGTTATAGCAGGCTTGTCATAATGTGTTTAGGAGTCTATTAGTTCAGTTAGGGTTTGGCTATGAATTTTCACTTAATAAATAGATGTGGGGTCTGCGTAGGAGTAAGTTATGATTGTTATGTGTCATGTATTCGAGATTCTCCATTTGGGTTATTAGAGAAATAGCTATTTTTAGATTCCGGCACTAGTTATCTCTGTTAGCATTCAATTTCACCAGCATCTATGGATGGTCATGATCTATTTGCTATGGGTTACTCACGGCTCCCATATTCATAAGTTCAAATAAAAATAAATTCTCTGAAAGGACTGTAATGTTTTTTGCAGCATATTAATGTTTCCATCACCTAGAAAAGATCAATCAGAGAAATTAAGCTCACCTGGTCCTGGCAGTAGTCCTCCTGATCATGATATGGACCCGTAACCTCAATATCTGCACTGGGATGAGCTTCAACGTTACTTTTAGTAGTAATCTCTGCTCCCAAATGTGAGTCCAGAATACCATCTTCTGCCAACAAAGCCTCCTCTAACGCCATTCGAAAGTCACTTGGTTTGCTCCTGTACAGCCGAGTCTGCCTCTGAAATCTAAATATATATAAAGTTTAGTAAGTAGATGTTGAATAGTCTAGCAAGACACGGTCAACTTATATTGGATCATCGATTAGATACAAACCTCTCCATGAATTCCATGAAGGGGAATACCATACCCTGCCTCACCCATGCATAGTCCTGCCGATCATTATTACTTTAGATTTCAAGTGTGGACGATTTTAAAACTCAAATTTTAAGGCCATAAACGTAAAGAGAAGTTTACCCTTTGCTTTCCTTTTTTTGAGTACCCAAAAAACATCACGCAAATTGCACCTGGAACACAACAGTTGAGGACTGATTTGGGAGCTTGCAAGATGGGATCAATCACTACCGCAGGCCAAGCCGGATACCTCTTCCCGCATTTTGCCCAAACTATGTCACCCCAAGCAAAATCCTCTAGTTTGTAAATGTCTACCCTCTTTTCAGCTTTCCCATTAGTCTTCGGGTTAACGCATTCAGAATTAAGTCTCGACGCATAATTCTGAGATTCAACTAACGATGAACAACTCTCTTTAACTGTTGTTCTCACGGTACTAAAGGACTTCATATGCTCCGTGTCCGCGGCGTCGAAATCACTCGAGTCTAAGGCACCCAAGACTTTTTCCTTCTCCATTTCAGTATGGGAATAATAAATTGAATTTTTCAGATTAGAGTCAACATTATCTCCCTGTCTTGCAAATTCCATTCCAGTGAGCTTCGACTCATCTTCCCCTAAAAACTTATCTTCTTCAAAGCTGGAATATGTGTTCTCCCCTTGGATTCTTTTATTCTTCCAAGAATCAAGAACCGAATCCCTGAACCTCGACGGAAGTATCTGTTGGCGACCTCGCGACGACCGCAATAATGGAGGCCGAACCACTTTTGAGCCCGGTTTTAGTACTGTTTTAGCATTTGACTTTGTGGAATCTGGGTTCGACCGTAAGTCACCACCGCAATGCGATTCTTTACTGCACAGAAATCCAGAACCCCTGCCCAAATATTCATCCTCAGCGGGCATACCAGGAGATAAGAACCAACTTGCCCTCCGTTTCTTGGGATTCGCCGCACACATACTGTCTTCAGGATCAAGCTCCTCTAATCGGCATCGCTTCAGGTTCGGAATTTCAATTTTCATATTCCGCTTAAGTATCATCTTGGGACTATCCGATACCACAAAATGTACTATGAAACTCTTTACACCAAAAGACCTAGATTTCTCATTGAAGCACCATAGCCATAAGTCCAACAAGTGAGCAACAAAACTCCAAAGCCGAGCATCAATCTACTCAGCATCGATCCAATTCAGCATCAAGCTCGGCGCCCCAACAGCGTCACAAATCCCCAGAACTTGAACGCAAAAACCGTCCAAATTTTGAATAATGAAACAACAACCAGGCAGTGATGCAGAAAAACCGAATGCCTTTTTTCCTTTTGCTAAACACAGAAGAACCTCGGATAGATCAGCGTTGATTTCGATCTATGAACCAATAAAAGAGAACAAAGAGCGAAATCCCGTATAACACTGACAATTTGCCCAAGAAATATCACTGGGAATTGACAAATACGGAATAACAAGTTCTGTAACTGCCTAACTGGGTGTTCAACTAAACATGGAATCTCTCTGTCACAAACATGAGGAAGCTAGAAAGTAATCGCTGTGGAGTGGAGGGAGGGAGAGGGATTTGGCTGAGGAGGGAGGCGCCGAACATTTGTTTTGAGGAAGGCGCCAGCGGGGAAAATTTTTGGCGGGATAAAATTCCCCAGGCAACTGTGCAAGTGAAGTGGGACATCGCTATTTTGGGTTCCCCTTTGGCGGGTTCCAAATTCGTTTTTATGTTGCCAGTTTGAGAAAGGATCGAGGATGAGCGCGGAAAAGGAGAATGACGGTTAGCGCCAAAAAAAAAAAAAGCTTTACAGTTAAAATTACAAATTTTTTTGGAAAAAAAGAAGTTATAAGGAGGGGTTTAAATAATTACAAATTTAAGAATCTTAGTTTAAAAAAAAAAATATTATTAATTAATAACTTAATTTTTGAATTAGTATTTATAATTTATTTTTCAAAAAAATTCTAAGACCTGGTTTTTATGAAATTAATTCTCATTAAAAAAAAAGAAAAGAGGTGCAAAAACAATAAATAATATTCCATGTATGTGGTGTCCGGAGGAAGGGAGTTAGAGTAGCTGTAAGCCTGTTTGAAATAGTTTATAATTAATTTTTTAATTATAATTTACAAAACATGAGATAAATATATAAAAGTAATTTTGTATTAACTCACATTACATGACTTGATATGAATTTGGGGCATTTCATGCAATTATTTTATAGAATAATAAAAATTAAAACTAAATTAAATGACATTGCCTGTTTGCCTTCATTCATATGGATATTTAGCATTACTTGAGTGTTTGAATTATTGTTGCTCAGTCCAGCTTATCCTATTCAAAGTTAGCAAATTATGGACATGATTTTGAAAATAACATTGGAATTAATTTTTCCCCAAAATTATAAGATTACAAGTTTTGAACCGTATTTTTTCTAATTATGACAGAGTCACAGGTTTATAAATTGACCAAAATACAAGAAAAATAATTAGAAATGTTTTGTTTATATTTTTTTTACCACGCATAAATGTCCTTTTATTAGGCACAAATTTATTTGAGATGTTATTGGATATTAAATGTGAATACCTCTTTTAATAAGAATTTATATCTTCATTCATCATATTATAAAATGACTAATTTCTTTTGTTAAACCTAATCTCCTGTTAGAAATTAGAAGTGGGTTAAATGTTAAATGTTGGTTTTAGGTTCGGTCCAAAAAGGGTCTTTGGTGAGAATCAAACCAACCGTTGAGTTTGGTATAGGTCCAGACCAATTGAATTCCACGCGAAGTCCGTCAGGCTTAGATGTGGGAGGTGGTTTGATCCAATGTCATATAACTTGGCCCATGCACAGAAAGACTTTCTTTTTTGCGGGAAAAAGAGATATTTTAATTATATTAAAAATTAGATTCAAAATTACATGCAGTTTTCTAAAAAAAATTGATATTCATAAATTTATAATTTATTAATATTAATTACATATTAAACATACTTTAATAATATAAATGACATAACAATATTTTTTAGAATCAATTTTCCTAAAATATAAGGAAGGAAAAAACTATTATCTGCAGAAACAATCTCTGACTCTTACTATTAAACGTTATAATACTATGCATACAAAATGTGTGTGCATGTAAACATTGACGCATATGCATATCAGTGTATAATTGTTCTTAAAATATTCATTTTAGAACTCAATTAAAAAAATGAAATTCATAATAAAAAAAATGAAATTCATACCGTGAAAGCTATGAAAAAACAAAAAACAAAAAGTCATTCTTGACGTGCAATGGAATGATTATTCTAAGGCATATTGGGGGGAAAAACAAAGAAAAAAGAAAGATCATTCTCCATTTCTCCTGCATGAAACTGAGGATCTAGGCGCTTGTTTTCTCTCATAATAATAATAATAAAAGCATATATAAGTATTGATTCAATACTCCTAAAAATCATAAAATCATTAACGGAAGCATTTCTCTGCGAAAACATCAATCTCTTTCACTATTTTTGTCAACACATGTCTCTAGAAAAACAAGACTTAGATGATGTAAACAGGAAGCAATACAAGAAGCCATTTACATTCCCGCCCAAGCGGCAAAAACCCACCAAAGAAGCCAAAACAGTGTTCAATCCTTTTCTCAAGCTGAAAGAAGAGATTTGCCAAACCAACTTAGCAACCTTGTCGCTTTAATTTGTTATCTATACAAGTATCTTCTTTACATGATCTCACCCAAAGAATAGCTTCTACGGTGTCAAAGTTCAGGTTCAATCATATGCCTCAAATGAATAGCCTGATGAAAGCCGTGATTCAATCTGACAAGTTACTGTGTCTGGATGCCCAGAACTAGCAGCAATTCACATTCACCCTGCTCCATCAAAATGTGAGTCATACTTTTGAGAGAATTTTTAACACCATCTCTGGATCAGAAGAGTGTTTCTACAACAAGAAGATCATTTGAAATATAGCGTTAAAGCTAGGCTAGGAAAGAACATACCTTTGGTTAGATTACTTGGAATTGAAGCAAGTCCATTAGGGTCCATTTGGATGCTGGGAGGTAGAGAACGCCTCTCTTTCCTTTTCAAGTAAGCTAAAACTTCAAAAACTATGACGGCAACAATTACTATACTAAGCAAGAATCCATAGCCTATTCTCCAATCACTCCCTGCTCCTGCAGCTTGCATCCCCAACAATATGTTCAAGGCTGCAAAGAATAGCGCCAATCTCCCAAACCAACTGTGATACCAATTCCAATACTTGCGGATCTTGGAGTCTTTGTTTGGTCTCAAGAAGAATGCTAAGACCTTTGCTCATAAAAAGCTTCTGTCAGAGTTTTTGTTAACAGCGCGATTGGTCTAACTAAAAAAATTTTAGTGTGAGAGACATGGGTGAGTTGCAAACCTGAAGAATGCTTAGCACAAGGACAAAGATGCCTATGCCTCTGTGAGCTGGTATATGAACTTGCATTTTGGAGTAAAGCTGTAGCCCGAGAAGGACTGTGGCAAGTCCGAATCCAAATCCAACAAACTGAATCACCGAGTGCAGATAGAACCAGAGAGGATCCTTATGCCTGAAGTATCTTGCAACAATTGCCCCAACAGGTAAGATTAGACCCCACCCTATTATACCCACTATTCCATGGCTCTTCCTCATCTGATTCAAGTTATTGGATACAGAACCCTGAGAACCTGTGGAAAAGAAGGGTTGTTCTAATTTCTGCTTGGAAAAGTTATAGGAATTGCTGCGAGTTTATTCTAAAGTGTGCTACCACCTAATCTGCTTATATGTATGCTTTGAAAGAAGGACTGAGATATAAAAAGTCAGTTGAAACGCCCTATTCATTGATCAAATGACTCAAACATTCTTAGTTAACACCGTTTTGATTCGAGCCACAGTAAGTTAACATGCAGTCTACATAAAAAATGTTTCGAGCTATATTCAGGTATCAGACCAAATAAATCATCCACATGTGTAACACTAAATCTAGGAATAGTCTAGTTATCTTTCTTCAAAATGAGTATTTCCTTAGAAAAACTTGGCCAACCAAACACTTGTCTATTATTGTATCACAAGAGTGTCACGGGGAAATTATTTTGCACCTGAAGAGAAATCAAATACAATAGCTGTTTTATCAACATGCTTTGAGAGGTGATGATTCTGCGGGGTTTTAGCACCAAAAGCCAGCAAAATTGGTTGCCTCCCAAGTGGGGATGTGGTCTGCAACTGAAATGCCAAGTGAATTTGAGCCCCATCAATTGCCACAGCTGCAGGAACATTGTTGAGAGGCACTTCTCCTTTGTCTGCTATTACTTCTGATGATTTTCTGCCCCGCAGATAAAACTGTTTAGCTTTTCCATGACCATGTTGGCTAATCCATCCCACCATTGCACTTGAACCAACCATCATCCCATCTTTTGAAAACCCAATTCCTACCCACCCAACTGTGTAGGGGGCAGATAGTATGATAGTTGTGGTCTGAGGATCATTTTGAGTAAACTGCAGTCGAAAACGTACAAATCAGCTACAAAAGGTCAACTTCAATTATCTACATTTGTTTAGGGTTTGAATCTTGTTAGAACAACCTGCTTGTCCCTCAAACTTAAGATTTTAGTCATGATCCTAGAATTAATGCAATTAAACAGATTATGTTTCCTATAAATTTAGCTTCTTGGGGTACATAGATTCTCGAAATGGATAAGACACAAAATCAACGTTAGAATTGTCTGAATTTACCCTCAATTCAGGTGCGTTGCCGTTCCATACACTAACTTTAAATAAATCATAAAAAGCATTTGTGCTGTAAGTTCTGGTGCAGTTTGAAGAGAACGGACAGCTATGAGATGCAGAATATGTTTTAAAAAAAAACGTGAAAGTTGCAGCCGTAATTTCAGAATAATTGACGTTGAACAGGCTAAAGAATTCGACGATATCAGCTTCATAAGAAATATTTAATGGGAAAATGGCAGTACCGACAGCCAATTATTACACATATCTAGATGCGGCCTGAAGAACTTACCCTCAGTTCATATGTATTCCATACAGGTCTGCATATCATATGAGATATGTTCTGATATGGTGGAGGGAGAAAGCTTTGATAATTCGTGTTCTTGCAATTGCTTTCTGTTGCAGAACCAGCCCCGCCATTATCACCCACTGATGCTGTGACTTTGAAGTTCAACACAAGATTCAGAACACAGAGACTGAGAAATGATCTGAAATTTGCCATTCATACAGTGTCCCAGCTGAGATCTAACTAAAGCTGGGAAAAATGCCGGCTAAGAAACTCAAGAACAAGAAGAAAATGTGAATAGAAAGCAATAACAATATGGTAGCTCCAAGGCATTAGTCTCTTGAGTACGAAGATTCGAATTTGGTAGTTGTTGGCTAAGGTAGCGGTTGGTCCAGGGACATTATCACCACCATCTTCTTGTAAACTTCATAGTTCAACGTCCAACAGCAGGCCCTTTCTCCGGGACTTCTCACTGATGTTATTATTAGCGACAGTCATTCATATTTAAATTAAATGATTCGAAAGTTCAAAACTTTCAATCATAACACGTTTATAACCTGAGGATTGCTTCAAGAATAAAAAAGGACCAAAAAATAAGAGTTGAAGACCCAGGGAGGGGGGGGGGGGAAAGGTTGCTGGATCTGCTTGTTCCGTCCTGCAATTGAACAAGTTGAACCGCTAAAATTTTATATTCATCTCAGAGTATTGGATTATCCTTTACTAAAATATGAGGCATATAGTGTTTATTAACAATAGAGAAATGTTTCTGTCTTTAAGGTTTAAGTTCACTGACACAGTGAATTACAGTTGTGTGTCGGCAAGTTGCTGGCAGAGAGGACAACAGTAGTGCAAGATGCTCGTTTGGGAGGTAGGTGATGAAGACAAATCACCGAACACGGTGGCCCCCTTGACTTCTCAGATGAACTGGAGAGACACTCGATTAGGTAAACGAGACTTTTCTTGAACAGTTTCTTCGGAAAGAGACAGTTCTTTATAGCTCTTGTGATGGCTGGAGGTGTCAACGGAGTAGGTTTGAAGGTTTAACATGCTCAATCTTGAGAAGAAATATTGGGGTGAAATTGGTAAAAATGGTAATTCATTGTTTAATATTAAAAGAGAATATTAAGGTGGGGAAGAAACTCCTTATAGATGGAGCCTTTTTTTTTTTTTGACCAGCACTTATAGAGGGAGCTTTAGTGGCAACTGGGGCCTGATGTCTGATGCTTGAATTGTTCTCATCAGCCCATTAAAAAAATGCACGATGGAAACTTGATTTATGAATTACTAATTTCTTAGAAAGGCAAAAGTACTACCTCCAGTTCTTAATATAAAATTTATTTTGATTTTCAATTTAATCTTAAATATAAGATTTCAATCCATTTTATTTTTTATATTTTTCTATTTTTTTAAAGGTAGTCGTTATAAAAGTTGTACTTGTCAAATGTTTCATTAAATGATGCTTAATTAGCAAAGGTATTTTAAAACAAACAATATATATTTATTATAAATAACTAATTTAATTAATTTTTTTAATCCACTCAAATTAGTCAATTAGTTCTTATATTAATGACCAGAGGTAGTAACTTAGAACCCAATTCGTAAAGCTTGCTTGGAAGCTACTTCTTAAATATACATACTTCAATAATTAAAAATCATTTAGCCGCTAGAATTAGAAGTTTACAAAATTGTTACCATGACACACTCTTTTGGTCCCATTTATAGGGCACAGAGAGAAGGTTTTTTTTCCTCCTATTTATAAGTCACTTCATTAAATTTTTATCATAAATGTATTATATTGTCCTTCATTTATTATAATATAAATAGTTATTTTTTTGAAAGGTATATATATTAAATAGAGATAAAGTTAGAAAGTTGTTATGCTTTAATAAAAAGTTAATGTAGTTTAAGATTTTCTTTAGTCTATGTGAAATATATTGAAAGTACTTTATAAATAGGATTATATAGCACATGTGACCGTTATAGCCAATTCTATGGCCTCAATCAATCATTGAATAGTTCTTATATTTAATATGCCGACTGTATTATGATTTTAACACGATCAACAACAAGCATTAAATAACTATCGTTAATTAATATTCCATATTGAACTGTATTCAATGATTGACGCACTCAAAAATCTCCATGCTCATTAGAATTTTGATTCACAGTCGAAGTTTATGCTTCAAAAAGGAAGTGACCGTTTCGACCTAAACTGCAAGAAATAGAAGGGTACAAGTACAAAGGAATCAAAAAGTGGACATAGGTCCTCCCTATAATTTCTCTCCATACTTTCTCGAATCTAGAGGTTTCGTTGGACTAGGCCTGAAGGCCTACCATGTTCAATCCAAATAGTGATTAGTTAACACTAAACTAGATTAGGATCTTCCCAACTATTTGCTTGCCCGACGCAATTTTAAAAAGCTCAGGCCTCTGAAAGATGACGCCTCTGTTGACACCACTAGAAGAGGTTTGCCTTTTAGGTGTATCTTGTTGCAGTCACCTCCCTCTTGTTTTGATGTTCTTTCTTCAATGGTACGGGCTCTCTAAGCTAAATCTAGTTCCCTATCAAAACTTCTAGCCTTCAACCCCTCGTGTCTGTTCATCTAATAAAATTTGCAGGCCAGAAGAAACAACAACTTGGAATAAAAACATGCATACATATACATAGACGTATTAGGTAAGTTTGTATTACCATGTGCAACTCTTGTAGTAGTACTTCAGAAGACAACATTTTAAAAATTGAAGCTTACCAACTTCTTATTTATAATATGTAGGTAACAGTTACATGACTTCACCTATCATAGGAAGGAAATTAATACAACCGTTAATTTGATTAGCTGTAACAAGTAAGGCAGCTTTCTGGAACACCAAGTGCGGAAGTGTTTCAATTGGATCACTGTTTGGTCGCTGATAGAGGAGACAAAATGTTAACGACGACCAGGCCACACATTCCCCAGCAGCATGTGAAGCACTCATAGGACCAAAATGATCTTTGTTTTTCAGCAGTTATATTACAGCTGCAATCTTTTTCCCTTTTGGGATCAATTCGCATGCGCCTTCGCCATCCATCTTATTGGATTTCTGCGTTAAAAGCTCAACTCTATCAATGACCCAATTCTTTTGGGGTTAAAAGTTGGTAGTTTCAATTCCAATACCAATCAATTTTAGGTACCCTGAATATATGTTCCTCACCACTTTCTTCATCAATCTTGGCAACCCACCGACTCTTATTCCTTTTCTTGAAACGATTTCTGTAATCTGGGGATCTCATACTATCATTGACATTATGTTTGCTAATCATTGTAACTTCCATGCCCTTCCCTATAGGATGGTTCAGTGATCTTACTGCTACATTCTCATCCTTTCCTCTTACGTAGCCTTCCAACCCTCTTCTATCACCAGCCAAATTGTTAGCCACAACCACTGATCTTGTGGGATTAACATCAAGCAAGTTGAGCAGCCTTGCGTAACCTTCATCTTCACAATCCACTAGTGAGAAATCAATGTTTTCGTAGTTAGGCAATAGTTCAGAGGGGTCCTCAGTTCTAAACTCTACTTGGTCCTTAAGCCCTGAGCTGCTAATAGCTTCTTTTGATTCATCCAGCACTAGCTCTGGCAGAATGCAGACCAGCCTGCCTCCTGTTTGCCTTGCTGCTGCTGCGAGGGCTATCGTCAATGGCGATGTTCGCGATGTCACTTCCACTATCAGTTTTGCTTTCATCCCTGCAGCTAATGCTGACACGAATTCAAAACTTCCAGGTTCCAGCATTCTCCGAGGTTCAAATTGTCTTTCATATTTGTTACACTGTCAAGAAGAAATGAAGGACAAGTTAGTTACTTGATCATCAAAGTAGAATCTTGAGCATCAAATGTAGAATAAAGTCCGGAGGACTAAGATGTTATCAATTGTCTGACACATGAACTGAGAAATACTGTTAAACCCCAAGAGCTTCAAGACCCAAGCAAACACATCGTGGTCCAAATTTCTTCATTTTGATTCAAATCAGTAAGAAACTATGAGAATATATTGTTATTGGGCTGAAATTATGCTGTGTTCTTATATCCTATTTGTTGAAAGATATACATAAGTTCATAATGCAGAGAAAGAACACAAGCTTACTGTTTGTTAAATAAACACCCCCTGATGTCTCGAGAAATGAATAACAGAGGAACATTTGGGATGGCTCTAAACACTTGATTCTGTAACAAAGCAGCAGACAAAATATGGCCCCTGATTTACTTTTATACTAATCAAGTTTCTTCTCTCATACAAAGCCATCAATTCATGCCTATATTTTCCTACAACTAACAAGGAATGGAAATGGAAAAACATGCGCGTAAGAGCTTTGGAAACTCTCTATCCAGTTGGGGATTAATACGTACGTACAATTGAATCCTTGATCAAGATCAACAAGATTGCACAAATAACAGATTGATCATAAAAACCGTGTGATGACCGCAAAAAAATCAAAGCACAGAAACGACAGTGGCCAAAAAAGATGGAAAAGCATAGGAAGAAACAAACTACCAGATGAAGGGTATCAAGGTAAGCCCTTGTAGCAGAAGTTGCAGACCACTCTTCCATTAGAAAAAGATAAAATCCAAAATTCTAAGAAACTGAGAAATGAATGAATAATGGGAGAGATTTATATTCTTCAACTTCAAGCTTTTCAAGTACTTGAGGATCGAATACAAGACAATGACATACACGCTGGCTATATGTTTCTGGTGATGTTACTTTGTTCTGAAGGCTTGTAGATTTTAATGTGCGTTTTCTCGTTTTATTTATTTATTTATTTTTCCAGAGGGCTTTCTATGAATCAGGGGCACAAGACATTTAATATTTTCTTGGTTTTGCTATTGTGGGGTTACGAAGAAATCGTGGTGAAACCGCGGAAATCAAAGCCGTGGCCGAAAACATGGGTATATTATTCCTCATTATTACTATTGTTTTGATATGCTTACTAAGTTTATAGTAATAATGGATTATTAAACTAAATTAAACCATCAAAAAATGGATCAAAACCCCTGAATTCGGACTAGAACATTATTTTGTTGAGTAAATTACGGACTACGTTGATCCCCTGTAACTTCGAGACCCTCATTATTTTTCCTCAAATGTGTCGTATAGTGGATTGGACTACAGAGAGTATGCAGATTACATTTAATTTGCTGTACTCCTGACTCCTAATTATAAGCTTTGAATTTGGAGATGATGGAGTACATGTAAGTTTCAATTTAGGGTTATTTCTGTATTTAATGTATCTTTTTCAATTTTATCCTTAATTTTCTTTCATTTGCCATACTCTCTAAGTTTCTATCATATTATATTTCCTCATACTTTTTTTTAATCTTTTTTCTCATTTATTATAAAGACGCATTTGAAAGCAAAAATATATTTACTGCCTATTTATTGCCTTTAACCAATTTTTTGTTATTTATAAGTCAGTTATTTCAAATAAGTTAAAGTATAAATTTGGTCCTTTAACTTTATATAAATTTTTAATTTGGTCATTTAACTTTAAAAAGTATAGTTTTAGTCCTTTAATCTTAAAATTTTTAATTTTAAATGATGATTTTTTGTAACAACAATGGTTGTTTTGAAATTAAATTTAATATGTTAGTATTTAGTAATATTTTATCAATATTCAAGAGCTCAATATTATTATTTTTTGTTAACAGTTTTAAGATTAGAAGACTAAACGTTTACTTTTTAAAGTAAGGGATCAAAATAAAAATTTATGTAAAGTTAAAGGATTTAAAATATACTTTAGCCTTTCAAATAATAAGAAGTGGGTATATCACAATATGGAGCATATTATATCTTTCTTTATTTTCATTTATTTTTAAATCCAACATAGACAGACATTAAATATATGAAAGATTCACCATTCAAATAAATGTTTCACATTCAGTATGAAAACAAACTCCTCGATATATTTATTTCGTTTACCATAAAATTATTTTTTAAATCATAATTTGGGTTCACTCCAAACATCGCCCCAATAATCATTCACTTTTAACAGTATTTTTTTCTTTTAATTCCTTAGTCGCTTATGTACTATGCTTTTCAGTCTTTGAATGTGGCTAAGCGGCTATTAGGATGATCTCTGGACATTGAATCTTCTCACCGTTTCATGAAGAGGCCGATGGATCAGGACTGAGGAACCCGGAAGCACGTTCAACCAGAAGCGAGGAGCTCAAACATGATCCCCATTATATTGCTGCACACTTTATTTTACCTTCTAGAGTATGTTCATACTACATTTTAATGGGTGATGATGGTTCCAATATATTCAGGTTAATGGAGAACTCCAAAATATATCCATTGCTAATTCTCCTTCAAATCAATCCAATTCTTTATTTTATGGTCTTTATTACAGAAATCAAGTAATAAAATGTAGGAAATACTAGTGTGTGAGATTGAGATTGAATTTTAGAATGTTCTTTCAGCTCTTCGTTTCTGCGTGCATTTTGGGTTCCTGTAAGCCGCAAGGACTGAAAATGTGGGGAGCGGGGAATCGAACCCGGTACGTCGAAGAGAAATGCTCTACCCCATGAGCAACCCCAAGTTGCTGTCATATTGCCGTAAAATACCATTAATTCAGAGAATAAGTTGTTTGACTAGGACCGGCCCAAGGCTTCGTGATAATTTAACTGCATGGAGGATCTGTTGACTTTGTTAGCTGTTAAAACCTATAAATTTGATACAATTAAGGTGGTTAGATTAGATGAAATGGTCTCAGGAGGAAATATTTGAAGGGGGGGGGGAGGGCAGGAGTGCTGGCATGGGCATTAGCATATTCGTTTCTGAAACCAAAGCTTCATGAAGGCCGGCGATCTCAGTTTCGAATGAGCCCTAGTATAGCTTCAATGACAGTTTGAGGACATCTCCCGCCGTCCTTCCGCTTCGCCCTCCGTCACTTGCTTCCCTCGAGCTTGCCTCAAGAGCCGAGCAACCTGTTATCTATCTAATATATAATATTACTCCGAAATTCACAAGTCATTCAGCCGTTCTTCTTCTAGATGAGCGTCGCCAGTCGGCACCATTCTGGAGATCGGAGAGCCGGAAGCCTTTTCCGTCGCCATTCCCAGATTACCTCCAACCGTGAAAACTTGCCCTCGCCGCCTTCTAGGCTGTGTACGATGCTCCGGTGATAACGTAGTGGGCCCACTGCTCCGGTTTGTGCTTCTGTTCAATTGGATCGGTTCTTTTTTTTCTTTTTCTTTTTCTTTTTTAACTATATCTTCAGCACCAACACCCCATTGCTGTAAAACTCTCCGGTCTCGAATGGTGCTTAACCTCTTTTGCCGCTTGCATTTTGCAAAGAATGAATGCCGAGAAAGCTTCTCCCTTCTCTTCTCTCCCTCCTCTGCTCTCTCTTGTGTGTATTAAAATATATACAATTAGAAAGGAATTAATTTAATCACGAGTAATTCAAATGCGGTTCGTCTTCAGAAACCTTGAATCGGTGACTCAATCCTTAGTTTTAAAAGCAATTGGCTCAAACTCGTTAAGGTCTTTCTTCTCCTTCAGATACTCTGGTTAAAACGGAACCAAGGGGCACTTTGAGTTTGTATGTAGTGAAATGAATGGCGACTTCTGTTTTCCTTTGAGCTACAGGCCTTCGACTTATCGTTTATGGTTAATCAATCATTAAAGTTATCAAATAACTATTCTGTGCGACCACAAAAATTACATGATCAGTGTTAGCTTTTCCAGTTGACTATAATGATTAAATGAGAGATTTTCAACTTATCAAATTGTAAAATGAACAATGGAGTGTCAGTTGCTTTTTGATGATAAAATGAATTAATACAACACAGAGAGTTAGAGAACTCGGAAGTGGTAATTCTTTGTAATTTTTGGTGATACTTTGTCGTCAATTTTATTTCTCTATCCTCTTAATGGGATCCTTTTTCTTATTACCGAGTTACATTGTGATTGAGAATCTCAAGTGGCTTTCTTTCCCTATGTCTATTTTAATACGTGAAAGAAAAGGTGTTGAGGAGTCTTTGATGTTTGTTCCTTGATATCCTTGACAAATTGTATATCATCTTTTTTATTTAATAAACAAACAGAAGCAGAAGATATGAATCAAGAGGTGTTTCTTGTTGAATCAGGGCTCAACTAATTACTTGTATGTATAGTGGGGATTTGTTCCTATGATATTGAGCACAAAACTGACTGAACGACAATAAAAAAAAAAAATGCAGATAAACTGCTGCCTTTGTGATTTTCAGTTGGCAGGACTGCAGCTATACAACAAATGGCTATTTACATGGATTTGCTTCCAACCTATTCGATCATTTAAGTCACTGTGGATGCTGACCTGATGCTTACATTGTCTAAGCTCAGGAACATATTTGAAACCCCATGGGGACTTAGTGTCTGTCACAGGCGAAATCAGAGTAGTTTGAGAGAAACAAAATGGCTCACTCATTCATGTGCAGAAAATGACTTGCATCAAGCAGACCCCTTCTCTAGAATTGATGTCTCTACTACCCAAAAGCTGACTGATTCGCGGTTGGGCATCCGTTTATGCCATGTCCTCTATGTGGGCGACTGTGCTTCTTAGCCTATTCGCAGATGTTTTTTCCTTCCCCTCTTTTACATTTTTTTTTGGAAAAAAATTACTCGAGGTTTATGGATTATAAGTTATTCATATTAATGTTAGGTTGATAGTGGAATAAAATGGAGTTGTTGTTAGAGAAACGATCCATGAATTATTTGGCTGGGATCGTTAATATGATGTATATCAGCTAAAGTGGATGGGTAGTACGTACTAGTATTTTTGACCTCTGAGAAATCCTTCTTGAGCAGGGCTTTTATTATTTGTGGACAATTTCTAGTTTTACTGCTGAAAGAAAGAAACCTCATATTGCTCTGCAAATATATGATTTTAGGCTGTATCGTTAGCTGTTAGTTAAGGGTTTTCTAGGATGTTTAAAGCCATATATTCGGAATGCTGTAACCTGGCTCAGGCTCTAGACTATTATGCTGTCAGAAACATCTTTCTCTGTCATTAGGTTGTTTGTATGACAACTCATTTTGAATTTTGAGACTTGCTAGATTGGATTGATGGAATAGAGATGAAGGGGGAGCATGCTATGCATTTGGGGACAGCTGGAAAATAAGGTATAATGCTTTCAGTGTGTATTGAAATCTAAAGTGAAAGCATGATCAGAATCCGCTCTTTTCTTAAATCAACACTCAGATGTAAATATTTGGTCTCTTTTTAGTTTTGATGGGTGAATCTTATATGCATCATTCAGTAATTGCACTTCTCCACACGTGTTCTGTGAAAGACAAGTTCTATATTGATTATTTCTTGTTTATTTTTGCGAAGTATGTTTATCCCTAGATGTGTCTTTTGCATTGTTTTAAGCTCGTGGGGCTTTAATGTTGGATTGCTACTGTTCTTTAGTTTAGGTTGATCTCTGACTGAATGCATTCAGCTAACACTTTTTATAGGAAACTTCATATCTAAGGATTTCATGCAGCACTATTTACTGATAAAGACAGAAGAACAATATCATGGGGATGATAATCCCCATTTCTTTTCAACTGAATAACCTTAGAAATATAATACCATCTAGGATGAGTTCTTAATTCGAAGAAGTCCCTGTTTTATAGAGATTGCCCGATATACCTGATTTCCAAAGATTGTGAAAGAATTAAAAATGGACAGACAGGAAAGGACATGAAAATTAGATACATATTTGACATGTTTATATGGTTCTGCTGTTACTTGGTGTACTTTGTGCTTGACATCCCTTCAGCATTCCTTTCGGTAATTTGGTTTCTTTGGATTAAATTAGCAATTTGGTTCCTAGATTGTCTATTTAGCTTTAAATTTCAAATATTAGTGAGTGCCAGTGTTCATCCCTGAACAAAACACGTTTGTTGTTAGTCCATTTCCCCCCATTCTCTAGCTTCAGTAATGTTGCAAAATAATTTGTTGCGCATGGAAACAGGTACTGAATATGATCGTTGCATACCTGTTCCAAGGGCATCTAATGAGTGAAAGGAAACTGAAGGAATTTCTGGCTCATGCTCCTCAAGTTCTTGCTGGTGCTCTACTTGGCACTCTGGTTGCCTTCATCTGCTGTGGAGCCTGCGTTGTGGTCACCGAGCCGATCAATCTTCAACCAGTTTTGATCATATTATATTTGCAAGTAACAACATACCATTTAGCCTCTATTATAATGCAGCCATTATTCATAACTTCTTGCAGATGTCATGTGGCATTCTCGGAATAAAAATGCTGAAATCAACGTTGGAAGGAGGAAGAAAGAAAGGGCCCATGTGTAATTGTGAAATTATAAATAAAGTACTAATATTTTAGAAGACAATCTATGTACCATGCAGAGCAATGGTACTGTGTTTATCATCTGGATTCTACTGGAAAAGCTAGGCTTCCAATGTCAAATATCATCATAATCCTAAAATATGATCTCTCGGAAATGTGATCACACACACGTGTATGTGCGCGCGCTCTGGACCCTTTGTCATATCTCCACCAGCACAAACAGGGGCTTCCCCAGCTCATTCAATCGCTGGTGACCCTGTGAGAACAAAATTTAAATTCAGAGTATTCTTTTTACCGATCATGAGAATCAGTCATATAAATTACTTTTAACCTTTAATTGTCGTATCCCAAACACGCAAGCACATTCAACAACTTGTGCTCCATTACGTTCTGAAACAAAAACACCAGACACATATCTCAACCATCATCATGCAGAAAAATGGCCCATAAAATTATATTTCTACAAATCTGAAAAAAATCCATGGCAAGCCAAATGATGGTGCAATTTACCTAATAAGTTGATAGCTGCACAAAGGGTACCACCAGTGGCAATGACGTCGTCAACAAGCAAAGCAAGCTCGCCATCATTAATTACTCCGACTTGAGTTTCCAGACAGTCATTCCCGTACTCCAAAGAATACTCTGTCCTCATCACTTTGCCTGGCAGCTTGTTTGGTTTCCTTAAAGTCACAAACTTGGCTCCTATTCCCAGCGCTATAGGAGCCCCAAATATGAATCCCCTTGCTTCTACTCCTGCAATTTCACCACGAAACACCTCAAAAATCACTTTCAAGCTTTACGAAGTAAAATTATTTTCACATATTTACCTCTGTAAAACTACTTGAAATAAACCAAACCAAAAACCGAACAGAACATATGCCTCAGTGTTCAGAGTCAGATAATAACACCCTTAGTGCATGTCTTGTTGCATGGATTATTCTTCTTATTTGTGTTCGCTAACGCTATATTCTTTTAAAAACACCCTTTCGAATAATCTAAGCATGCAAAGGAAAAACAAAGGGTGGAAAAAAAAAATAAGGAAAAGGAAAAGGAAAACACCCCTTTAACATCTGAAGTACCTGCAACGACAGAAATATGTTTGCCTTTATATTGTTCCACGAACAGGTCGATGGCGTCTTTGAATGCTTTTGGATTCAGCAAGAGAGTATTGACGTCCAAAAACTCACCACCTGTGTTTGCAAACCATTATTTACACAACCAAAAGAAAAAACGAACAAAATGAACATTAAAGTAACAAGAGAAACCACAAAACAAACCGGGTTTGGGGAAATCGCGGATGATGTGAATCGTAGACTTGATGCCTTCGATTCGGGGATCCTCCTCTTTGTCATGAGCAGACATTGTGAGATGTTCCATCTCAATTAGTTCTCAGAATCAAGGAAGAATTGGGTTTCAAGTGAACCAAAGAAAGTTGAACAGACAAGCTGGAAATGAGGGAATTAACGGGGTGTAAATATGATCATTTGATGGGACAAGGTATACATACACACACATATATAAAGTTTGCATAAAAATATCGTTAAAATACAAGGTCATGTTTATAAAAACATTAATGAGGTATAAATACTTGGCAAACGTTATAATTTACATGCACTTGATATTAGAATGTATGTATGTTATCTGATATTAATTTTAGATTCATGAACGCAAGAGGAGAATAAAGAACCAAGACCCTTTGATTCACCATCAAGTTTGCCTCCATTTAAAAAGAAAAATGCGCGCACACAAATATATATATATATATAAACAAAATGAGTCGTTGCATATATAACGCGTTATGTAGCTATTCGGGGGGAAAAATTGTAAACCATCCTCCTAATGGTACAATAGAAGAAGATTATAAAGCCTAATTAACATTCGTCACTAAATCGTCACTTTTGATCATATTCTTTCAATAAACAAACAAAAGTACATGACAATAAGAGTTGATCTAATTGATAAGAAGTTAGCTCATATCTTACAAGGTTATGGTTTGAATCCCACTACTAATATGAATACCTTGGTGATAAGTGATTTATAGATACTTCTGTAAGCAATTTCTAAACATGGAGATATGTTTTAGTCCTAGTAAATCTTTAAGACCCAAATCACCTAAAATTTTGTTTATTAAAAAAAAAAACGAACAAACAAAAGCATATGCTAGCTTTCCCATCTTATTATGACCACTCTGCTATTAGATTCTTATTGACATGTCTTTATCTTGATTTTCTTGCATGGTTTTATCCTAACGTTATATTCTGAGAAGAAGGAAAAATAGTAAATCACAGCTAATCTATATACCATTATAAGCAATACTTAACTCACTAAGACTGGTTGATATTTAGAGGGGAGACAGAATGCGGTAGGAGCTTCACTTGTCAGTATCATGTATTTGGCAAAGAGTGAGACCAATACGACGTGTTTATTAGGGAACACGATGAACCCAAAAGGAAATTGTGTGCTCAATTCATCCTTCGTAATTTAGTGTAAAAAAGGCACAGGCTTGAAATCAAAGTGGAGGCATTTACAGGCAGAGAATTTGTAGGCTGTGTGAGCCAAATTCAGTGTTCAGCATAATCATAACCATAAGATCTATACCATCTAAAGATAGTTTCAACAGACACATGTTTTAAAATTTTTAACTACTAATTTTAAAAAATAAGTCATTTTGAGAATCTAAAATTTAAGAAATTATTTTTATTTTGTATTTTATACCTATTACAATATTTGTTCCTGAAAAATGAAAATAAAAAGAAAATAAATCTAGACAATTTACATTAGGTGCTGATCACCGAAATTCAATCCGAATAAATTGATTTTGTTAGCATTTTGAGAGTAAAGAGAGATGATGACCCCAACACCAAGCTGAGGTTTCATTCATTTGTAGTCTCTAGAAATTTTCATTTTAATCCCTATAGATAGAATTTGGGGTTGTACATTTTTGCCTTTTCTTATCCTTTCCATAAAATCTTATTAACTATTTTCATCATATTAAGACAATTTTTTTTTAACTGAGCACATGTAGTCTCTTATTAGAAATAATTCTATTCAGAACGCTATCAGATACTAAATATAAATACTTCTCTCGAAATACTAATTTGAATCGTAGCTCGCTCCATGTTGAGACAATTATTATGTTTTTTCTATATACAAATTGATGCAATCATTTAAATGCAAAATTTATTACAAATTTTCAAAATTACTCTGCACCAGCCCAGGGTTGTCTTTTCAGGCTGGGTTGGGCATGATTCTATAGGCTTGGGCCGGTATGTGGACCTCATGAACGCCGGCGATCTCAGTTTCGAATGAGCCCTAGTATAGCTTCAACGACAGTTTGAGGACATCTCCCGCCGTTCTTCCGCTTCTCCCTCCGTCGCTTACTTCCCGCGAGCTTCCCTCTAGACAGAGCAACCTGTTATCTATCTAATATCTAATATTACTCCGAAATTCATAAGTCATTCTGCCGTTCTTCTTCTAGATGAGCGTCACCAGTTGGCACCATTCTGCCTTGGAGATCGGAGCGCCGGGAGCCTTTCCGGTCGCCATTCCCAGATTACCTCCAGCCGTGAAAACTTGCGGTCACCGCCTTCTTTTTCTGGCGCCTAGGCTGTGTACGATGCTCCGGTGATAACGTAGTGGGCCCACTGCTCCGGTTTGTGCTTCTGTCCAATTGGATCGGTTCTTTCTTTTTCTTTTTCTTTTTTTTTTTAACTGTATCTTCAGCTCCAACACCCCAATGCTGTAAGACTCCCTGGTTTCGAATGGTGCTTAACCTCTTTTGCCGCCTGACATTTTGCAAAGAATGAATACCGAGAAAGCCTCTCCCTTCTCTTCTCTCCCTCCTCTGCTCTCTCTTGTATGTGTTAGAATATATACAATTAGAAAGGAATTAATTTAATCACGAATGCGGTTCGTCTTCAGAAACCTTGAATCGGTGACTCAATCCTTAGTTTTAAAAGCATTGGGTCAAACTCGTTAAGGTCTTCCTTCTTCTTCTTCAGATACTCTGGTCAAAACGGAACCAAGGGGCACTTTGAGTTTGTATGTAGTGAAATGAAGGGCTACTTCTGTTTTCCTTTGAGCTACAGGCCTTCGACGGATCTTTTATGGTTAATCAATCATTAAAGTTGTCAAATAACTATTCTGTGCGACCATAAAAATTACATGAGCAGTGTTAGCTTTCCAGTTGACTATAATGATTAGATGAGAGATTTTCAATTTATCAAATTGTAAAATGAACAATGGAGTGTCAGTTGCTTTTTGATGATAAAATGAATTAATACGACACAGAGAGTTAGAGAACTCGGAAGTGGTAATTCTTTGAAATTTTTGGTGATACTTCGTCGTCAATTTTATTTCTCTATCCTGTTAATGGGGTCCTTTTTCTTATTACCGAGTTACATTGTGATTGAGAATCTCAAGTGGCTTTCTTTCCCTATGTCTATTTTAATACGTGAAAGAAAAGGTGTTGAAGAGTCTTTGACATTGTTCCTTGATATCCTGGACAAATTGTATATCATCTTTTGTATTTAATAAACAGACAGAAGTAGAAGATATGAATCAAGAGGTGTTTCTTGTCGAGTCAGGGCTCAAATAATTACTTGTATGTTAGTGGGGATTTGTTCCTATGATGTTGAACACAAAACTGACTGAACGACAATTAAAAAAATATGCAGATAAACTGCTGCCTTTGTGATTTTCAGTTGGCAGGACGGCCTGCAGCTATACAACAAATGGCTATTTACTTGGATTTGCTTCCAACCTATTCGATCATTTAAGTCACTGTGGATGCTGACCTGATGCTTACATTGTCTAAGCTCAGGAACATATTTGAAATCCCATGGGGACTTAGTGTCTGTCACAGGCGAAATCAGAGTAGTTTGAGAGAAACAAAATGGCTCACTCATTCATGTGCAGAAAATGACTTGCATCAAGCAGACCCCTTCTCTAGAATTGATAGCTCTGCTGCCCAAAAGCTGACTGATTCGCGGTTGGGCATCCGTTTTTGCATTTTATTTGCATTGAAGGCTGAAGGGCTTAGAAGTCGGCCAATACTTAACTTGATCTGTGATACAATCACTAGAAACAATTGGTTTTCACTCTATGCAGAAGCTATTGAACAACTTCGAACAAGCCGGGTTTTGTTAACTTCAGAAGCTTACCGTATTTTGTTGAGGACTTACGTAAGACTGGGTAGGCTGGAAGAAGCCATAACAGTGTTCTGTCAAATGAGAGAATTATATTGTGAGTTTGATGCCCATACATACAATACAATTATTAAACCTCTATTGCAGAAAGAGATGTATTTGCTAGTGTTTGCGCTGTATAATCTGATGATAAAGTTAAATTGCTGTCCTGATGATTATACTTACTCTTTGTTGATTGATGGATTCTGTAAATGTGGAAGGAGTGATGAAGTTATTGAAATTCTTGAAGACATGGACCGCAGTAACATACGGCCAAGCATGACAGCATTTACTTCTATTCTTTCTGGTCTGTGTCAGGGAAAGAAAGTAGATTATGCATATAGATTGTTCAACAAGGTGAAAGGAAATTGGTTTCAACCTGATCTAATAACTTACAGTGTTTTACTTGATGGGTTTTGCAAGCTAGGGAGGTTCGACGAAGCCTTAGCCATGGTGCAGTTGTTAGAGAGGGACGGGTTTTCTCTTGGAGTTGATAATTACAGTTGTATTATCGATGGCTTATTTAGGGCCAGGAGATATCGTGAAGCATTTTCATGGTATACAAAATGTTGAAAGAGGGAATTATGCCTGATATTGTCCTATATACCATTATGATACATGGGTTGTCAAAAGAAGGTAGGGTTGGTGAAGCCGTTAAGTTATTAGATGAGATTGTTCAGAGTGGACTTACTCCTGATGCTTACTGTTACAATGCAGTAATCAAAGCATTCTGTGATATTGGTCTTCTTGATCGAGCTCTGTCTCTTCAACTTGAGATCTCTGAGCATGGTGAATTTCCTAATGCTTGCACTTACTCCATTCTCATCTGTGGCATGTGTAGGAATGGGCTGGTTGAGGAGGCGCAGCAAATATTTAATCAGATGGAGAAGCTAGGATGTTTACCTTCCATTGTTACCTTCAATGCTCTTATAAGTGGACTTTGCAAGGCTGGCCAGCTTGAGGAGGCACGCCTTATGTTTTGCAAGATGGAGATTGGGAAAAGTCCTCTTTTGTTTCTTCGGCTTTCTCAAGGTAGCAATAGGGCAGTAGGCAGCATTGGACTCCGGAAAACTGTGGAGCAAATGTGTGAATCAGGACAAATTTTGAATGCCTACCAATTGCTAATTGATAGTGGGGTTGTTCCAGACATAACAACTTACAACATTCTGATTAATGCTTATTGCAAGGCTGGTAATGTAGATCGTGCACTTAAACTCTTTGAGCACCTAAAGCTCAAGGGGCTCTCCCCAGATTCTGTTACTTATGGGACGCTCATTGATGGGCTTTATAGGGCTGATAAAGAAGTGGATGCCTTAAAGCTTTATGAACAAATGTTGGAAAAAGGAGGTGAACCTAGTTGTTCGGTTTATAAAGCACTTATGACTTGGTTATGCAGGAAGCAAAGGGTTTCACTGGCTTTCAGTGTTTGGCTGCAGTATTTAAATAACCTTCCTGGTGGTCGGGTAGATGATTTAACCAAGGTTTTGGAGGGATATTTTAATGAAGGACAAGTGGAAAAAGCAATTCGGAGGTTATTAGAACTGGACTTTAAGTTCAAAGATTTCAGTTTAGCTCCATATACAATTTTACTTATAGGCTTGTGTCAGGCAAACAGAGTAAAAGAAGCATTAATAATTTTTTCTGTTCTTGATGAGTTCAACATCAATATCAATCCTCCAAGTTGTGGACACTTGATTAAGTGTCTTTGTAATATACGGAGGCTGGATAAAGCAGTAGATGTTTTTCATTACGCTTTGGACAAAGGTTTCAAGTTGGGTAGACATATTCAAAACAAACTCCTCTTGCGCCTTCTTTCTTCTCCAACTGATAAGGAATATGCAGTTGCTCTTGTTAAAAGAATGGAGTCTCTTGGATATACTCTTAGTAGGTATCATTCTAAGAAAGTGAGGTCTCTTTTACTTCAGTACTGGAGACAACAACCAAAATACCGGAAACATCAAGCAGGATTGCCTGAGACGAGTGGAAAGCAAGGACTTAATTCTCAGAAGTGATTGAATGACGCTGAGAGGTCATGTTGAATGAATATCTTCTTTTGGACCTTCACTATCCTTCTCTCTTAAGCAGAATGCTCAGAACTAAGTGTGACGTTTTGATGAACCAGAGGTGCCTTTAATATTCTTCATATTGAGAGGTTAATATCTTATCCATTGGTGATTTATAATTCTGCATTCTTGTTCATGACCTCTGCAATTTAAGATTTGTGAATGGGTTATCAATGACTAATTAAGATACAACTCTGTTGTAAATTTTAACATAGGAGCAGTAAGTAAGTCCTGTTGTCAAATATGGTGGAATTGATAGTATTCGTTGTACTCAGTTTTTAATAGGATATACTCTGATAGTTCGAACTGTGCCTTTCGGAATCCCAAGAGTTCAACAAGTGATTTATAAACCAAAATTGTATATTTTGAATATATGAGATGATGAAATCAACCAATTATTTGTATGAAATGCTATAGAACACCATTTCTAAGATGTCAAATATTCATCCTCTAATCAGAACTTGTCAGTTATAAATATGTGATGTGCAAAGCTAAAAAATTTTCCGTTCTTCTGTTTTGGGGCCTGCGAGTGGGGTTCATTGGAAGTGAGGTATTTTGGAGATACAAATTATCAAATGCTCTCAATTTTGAGACGGTGATACTGTGTTAAATCAAGACCAGCATTATGGGATTAATGAGTGATAGGCATCCAAGCAAGATGAACTATTCTCCCTTAAAATCTAGTTGAAACTGTATCCATAGTATTTGACGTGGATTTTGGCATGCTATGCTACCTTGGTCCTCATTAATTGGTGACTCCTTGAAAACCGAGGTCTCAACACCTACACTTTGTATATCTTCACTTGGTCTTCCACCATTCAAATACCTCTATTGATGGCCTTCATAAAAGCACCCTTATTAAAGCCACCAACTCTGGTACTAAACGATGGCCTTCCTCCAAAAAGCAGTTGTTGAGGTGGGAAAACCGCTTTAATGGAGTACTCCATCAAGCAACCCATGTTACTCAAAATTTCAGGCTTAGCAATCTCATGAACTGCTCCCTATCTATGACTCAGGCAAGTTAAGCATGAATTGCAATTCAGAGCCATTGAACGGAGAAGATTTTCCTGACGTTCCCCCGGGAAAGCTTGCTAGATCATAAGCCTATCGAGATTTTGTTTTGTACATTTGTATTTATATCTACTAAACTGCATCGGCTCTCTAGTTGTGTATGTTTGTAGCATGTGCAAATTCATACATGCATTGCAAGGAGGAGGATATGACTGATTTCTCTTATTGACATTGTGCAGGTCTTTATTATGAGGGAGGTAGTGAAGCCACGGGATGACTTTCCTGTCAATTATGGTACGAGAGAATTGATGTGACCATAGAAAGAATCTTGTGCAAAATCTGCTTGCAAATCCTTTACAATCTGAGTTCCTTTCCGAACCTGTTCTCTTACAAATGCTTCTAATTTACTTTCCTTTGGAAATAAAATTATACAGCTGTCCTTATTCGCACGCATTTATGAACAAAATGAAGAAGTAATGACGAGGGAAGTCTCATCTTAATCAAAGTTTTTCACGTCATTTACTACCATTCATTATTTTTTGGTAAAGGAAGGCTACTAATATTTGGTTTTTTCCTGTGTTGCAACAATTCTTGACTATAATTAGTTTGGATTATCTCTGCGAAATGTATGTAGTTCATATGACTGGTTCTGACACGTGGTTAGTTTTCTGTGTTTGATCTAGACGTTTTGCTTCTGCTCAATGATATGGAGTTTGGTCTTTGGATAGATACAGTATTGGATAATCTGATTGAACTGTCAAGTGGAAGTAACGTGCACTTATGGTGGCCATACGAAATGTGAGCAGATGCGCTGCTGTCAAATTTTCTCAGCAGCCAGAATGTGTGTTATGATTCAGTCTTCTCCACTAATAGATAGAAGATTAATAATGAAATGACATGGTAGAAAGGTTTGAGGAGCTTGGACAACTACGCCTGTAGGTGAACGGCTATGGATTGTTGAAGGATTTTTTTTTTTTAATCGGTATCTCATTCTTGGATGTAATTGATTGATCAGGTAAGATGTTTATTTACTCCTTCTTAATGGCTTTCTCACTAAGCAAGTCAGGTTTGGTTTGTATATTAATTTAATTTGAGCGAAGTTTTTATTAGCTTTGAGCCTATAATTTTGGTTTTTCTTAAAACCCTGGCATTAAAAAGGCAAGATGATTGCAATTTATATGTTTTTTATTTGAAATTCGGTTAATCATTTTGATACAATTTATTGCCTATTCATTGATGATGAATTTATATTCTCTTCATGATTAATAATTGTCGAGAAAAACCGACTTAAAAGTGCCAATAGCCTCTGGGTTCTACATTCAAAGTGAATGAGTAAACAGGACACTTATTGACATTAGCCTCTAGGTTTATTTAAATCTCTTTATATCCAAGGGATTCTGTCCTAATTACTTAATCTGAGACATTCTAATATCTGAATCCGAATATTTAAATATAAAATGGAAACAGATAATCCGAAAATTAACAATAAAAAGCTGTCGGAGGATCTCAGCAGCATGATCTCGTCGATAATTAATATATAGGGTTTGCTTGGGTTAGCAGTAGAAAAAACAACTTATTTTCAAGCTGATTTTTAGAAAGGTGAGATTCGAAGTTAGATTGAGTAATATGATTTATGCTTGAATTGGTTTTTATAAAAATCGGCTTATAAAGTAAAAGTTGTTTGAATTATAATTGTATAAGTAAATTTAGTTTGTAAAATGATCAAAATGGGTATGACTTGTATTAAATATAATGATTTTAAATTATTATAGTGGGAAAAAGTTATATTTAATAAATAAAATATATTTAAATTAGAAATTATAGTAGTGTGAAAATTTTTAAACCAAATAATATTACATAAGTAATTGGACGATATATTCTACACAATTTATGTAAATATAAAATAAAAAATAATATTAAAAATTAAAAATATTATAAAAATTGTAAAAAATTATTTTCACTTAAGAAAATATTTAAAATACTTAGCTAAAATTGATTGGGAAGTACAATAAATATATAGAGAGAAGTATAAGAACAACATAAATATAAGAGTAAAAATATCTTTTAATTTTAAAAGATGTTTTTGCATAAGTTACAAGTAAGGTTTTGGTGCTTTTGCAATCTGATTAAAAAAGAAAAATTTGACGCATAAGTTAAATTGGTCAAAAATTGTTATAAATAGTTACCAAATTTGCAAACTCACTTGTCATATTTACAAACTATTTTTTGCCTCCTCAAATGCCCCACCAAGCATGCACATAGTCAAATATCAATACATAGCATGAGCACCATCCTAGTTAAGAGTGACTCAGTAAAATAATTGGTTTCCTGCAAAATTTTGTTTAGGTCTGGATATAGGATTAAGCAATTTTGCTATTTGACATTTTGTAGGCAATTACATTATTGGTTATTAGAAACATATTCTACTTTTTGTGAAGAAATTTCACATAAACGCTATACTTGAGAGGGACTAATTCATTCAGGAATTTGTCACTCTTTTTATTCTCCCTTGTACTTCCATGAGTACTTCCTCTGCATCATTTCCTTTCTTTCTTTCTTCTTCTTTTTTTTTTTGGTATACTCCAAAGCATGGTTATCCTTCTTGTTATGCATTTTAGGCTTGTTTCTTTTGAATTATTCCAATTCAAATTCAAATTTCAGTATAAAATCTATTTCCTACTAGCCATCTGTTAGGCAATATGGATGCATGATCAGGTAAACAAGTTGCCCTTGTAGAGGTACGATAAGGGAAGGGGAATCAAAGCACCAGTTTTGATGTATTTTCCAAGTTGTACCAACAGGAGTGTAACAAGAATAAACCCTTAGTAGTCTTCCTAATAGAGACTAGGATGTGTGGTATGGAAGATGAATTCTATGTGAAGCCCAGAGGAAGAGGAGGTGGTTTGGCACTATGGCGGACTAGAGAAGTAGTTGTTAATATCTGGTACACTTCTGGCAATTTAATTCATGTCACATGTGTTCTGCAATTCAGAGAACTCCAGATTATGTCACTTTCATCTATAGAGCTGCAGTAGATGAGAGAAAGATGATTGTGTGGAAGGCATACCTTTCCCTGATAAAAAGGTTAAGGAGAAATGTTAAGGCTATGCAGATGCATATTAGAAAGGGAGGAGGTAGAAGTGCTGGAACTCAAAAAGAAAAACTCAATCCTAAGGATCATGAGGAGGAAGTACAGTGGCAGAAAGAGGTAGTGATGTTGCAGAGGAGATGTTGGCCGAAGGTCTTGGTGGCTGGCCTCAAACAGCCACCAAGAGATCATGAAGCTCCTACCATGGAACTATCAAGGCATGGAGAGAGCCTTGACAGTTCTTCCCGAGAGGCCTATAGAGAAAGGTGGTTCTCGAGAACTATTCTGATAAAGACCTTAGTTTTGGTTTTGCTAGGATTTCAAAATCTGGAAATACCTTTATCATCATACATGAATTCTAACATTCTTCCCATTTTTGATGAAATTAAACGAAACAAAAGAATGCAATACTAAAACAAAACCTTGCAGATTTTTTTTAAAAAAAACGAGAGAGAGACTTGAGGATTATAACTTGATAGCAACTTGATTTAAGAGTTTTGTAAGTATAAACACAGAAAACATAAAAACAATAAGCGTTCACAATGTATAAATTGAAAAAGAAACTCAATAATCAATCAATGTCGTCAGAGCTGCTACGGTGCTACTCTTCTTCTACCCCCGGGTACGTAGGGATAGGAGTAGAAGTAGGGGGTTCTGAGGGTTCAAAGGCAGGAGTAGAGGGCTCTGTAGTAGGTAGCTTTAAAGATGGGTGAGAGAGGAACTCATCAAAAGTGAAGGTTGGTCCTGGAGCAACAGACAGGTAAGTAGTCACCAGTGTTCTGAGATCTAACATCT